CTTTTAAACAAAAACAATGACATGATATATTATTTATACATTATGACCAACGAAACGATAAGCTCGAACTTGAGGCTTAAATGGCCAAAGAAATAGACATGAATCCAAACTACCCGATACTAAATATCAGAAATTATAAAGATCACTTATATTTCAAATAAGAATCATACGCTTACCAAGTTGTTTTGTATTAGGTGAAAAACTAAGAGATGTAACAGTACTTCGATGACTTTTGAAATGTTTTTCTAATTTTGGATCTTCCTAATAAGAATCAAGAAAAATAACAAATGTGATTATCATGTTTAACGATTTACCATTATTTTTTGTTTTATTTTAAAAGTAAATCAATAAACATAATAAAATGTTAAATCTTTGTTCTCTATACTTGTCCACGGTTGACATCCGCCATGTGTTCCACAAGTATTCCTAGACAACCGATGAGATCTAATAAAAAAACTAATCGATTCAACTGGAATTTATTTTAGATTTTTCGATAAATTTTAAATTTATTTACAAATTCTTTTTCATGTTAGCATAAAATATTGTAGAAACAAATATTTCTGAAAGATGGCGTAAGTTCGCATAATTCAATGGTCAGAAACAAAAATGCTAATATTTTATGAATTTTATGTTTAGTTTTGCATGGTTTGTGTTCGGGTATAAACATAGACAAAACTGTCTATCAGGTTTTTCATTCACAAGTTAGTCTTCGACCATTAACAATATCGATGAATAATACACCACTCGAATGTGTAAACGATTTCAAATATCTAGGTTATACATGGACCAGTAAGCTATCCATGTATAAATCAGTTGCTAACTGNTATCTGTGAATGCTGCCAATAAAAACCAGACACCTTCAAAGTTTACTGGCAAAGGACCTTCTACCCTAAGTAACTCTGTAACGTCTTTATCAAATAGTTTCACTGGTGTTTCATTTTTGGGATCAGTTCTAGTTGAAAATGCTCCTTTCAAGTGTTGATATTTGTTAGGATCTCCGATACCAACATCAAGCCAAATAATCATATGATTTGGATTTTCTTCATACGATACAGTAGCATCATTAGGCATTTTTATCTAAAATAAATATTTACAATAAAATCATGTATTAGAAAATTTATTCATTGAAATAAATCACTAGACACTTTATCATTATTATCATTCCTGTTCGTCTTACATTATTTGTTCGACAAATGTGATACGATTTTCGACATATGTAAGTTGAGTGAAGATTTTTTCATGGAAAATTTATTTGCTCGTTCTAAAAGTAATTTTGCCTAGTTAAAATAATAAATAGCCGAATAAGCTAAATTTTTATCTAGACATAATTCATCGTCACCTTCGTCTATAAAATACTCAGCAAAATCACGTAAAAGTCATACTAAAAGATCGGTATGAAAGTCATACATAATACAATCAATATCTTTATCTAAACAAACCTCGATCCATTCTAAATGAGCTTTATAATAACCACAAAAAACTTAAATTGCTTTTCGGGATGAATATTTCTGAATTTATGTCAGAAGCTATTTCTTTTCTCATTGAATCAAATGTAATAAAAAAGATTTTCTGATTATTCAAATTTTCGTCGATATAATCGAGACATTGTTTTTCTTGACTAAATACTTGTAAGTTTTTGGGAACTTTATCAAAAATTTCTTCCATATTATCTCGAAATTTAATTAAATTATCAATATCAGGATCTATTGGAGATGTTGGTAATGGACTTTCTAGATCTGCTTATTCACTAATATTATTTTTTAATAGCTTATGTGATTCCAATAAATTAATATGTTGATCTAACCAGAAAATAATGAATTTTGGTATTGGAACAGAACTGACCATATTTTATAAGGTTTCTTATTCGAATAAATCCAGATTTCGACAAACTGGATCACCTTATTTTCTTTAATATTTATTTGTGCTAAAAATATCATATGACACGAATAAATTAAAATGATGACTAAATCTCAAATTTATTATAAAAAACTAATTTTTACTTACAGTTGTTGTCTTTATTGTTATTTTAATGATAAAAATTCAAATTAAATCTCGTACATTTTATTGCACATTTTAATATGAAGAAAAACAGACATGACTATTTTTCAATTATCAATTGATAGTTATTTGTATCAAATATAATATCAACTGAAAAAAAAGATAAATCTAGTGTAGACTGTTTGATTCGAGCAATTGCTATTTTGGTATGTCAATTTATACAGAAATAAAACCACGGGAAAAAACCAAGAAGAGAATAGAAAGAAAGAAAAAAAGAACGCAATAACTGGATAAATAAGGAAGAAAAAAAATTTAAACTGGCTTCTTTTTCAATGCTCACAAACTGTTCTTTCTTCTTCATACTATATGAAATATTTCTACACTGGAGAAACATATACGTTAAAAATAGCAAATAATAAATTGGTAACAAAAAACGGAAATACAGAAGAAAATTGTAGAATTCATAATGATGGGACCGGTTCGTGTATTCTTCTTTGAAACCGAATCGATCGCTAACAATTTCTAATCAATTAAAGATCTTGTCACTCTTGTTGCAATAGTTTTTTCAATCTCTTCTAACGATTGTCTTTCTTATTATATTATTCATCCAACATGTCTTTTGTTTCTTGTAAGAATATTAACGAAAGTGCGCAATAGTAGATATGAATTAGAGTAGAGGACATATTTAACATTCGAGCACTTTCAATGCAATTTTTTTTGATCATTCAAATTCATGTACATTTTTGTCTTGCGTAATGATATATTTTAAAGTATGGTATGAAAATCATACGAGTAAATCAATTTCAATATTGAATAGTTTTCATACAGTTAACAAATCAATAAGATTCTTGACTTTGATCAATTGTATGTCAAAAATACGAAAACAAAATGGCGTTTTGGATAATGAAACAGACATTACAATTCATATCTACATTTTCATTATTTAAAATTGGCATTGTAATCAAGTAAATGGTATGAAAATGATTTTTAATCAAAACCATACAAATCAATTGATAAAAATATCTATTTTAATTAATGAAATTGGAACACATAAATTCTCATGCCCGTTTTATCATTTTACTTAAATAGTTTTAATTCCTGAGGTGTACGCAAAAAGCATCTAATCAACATTATTTTCAATACTAGTACAGGAAATACACAATGAATGAACACAAGAATATGTAGAGCTGATATGCAAAATAATATCTTTACTAACTGATCCCAATCATATAAATATGACGTTTTTTTTTGTCAAAACGATCTTTATGATAAGTTTAATCATTTCAAATCAGAAATATCAGTGAATTAAAATGGAACAATTCTTCAAATTGAAGCACGAATAAATGAATTTGTTGCAGCTACTAACTTCAATATATTGGACCAAGAGCATACGTTTGAAATCCTTATAAAATAATTTATTTAAAATTCTGTTATAAATATAGATAGACAGCAATATGCTATTTTTCCAAGTGAGTAATTGTATTCAATTATTCTTTCAATGAAAAAATAAAAAAACGGAACACATTAATAATCGTGATGTAGATTTGTCAATATTTTTTCTATTTCATTACGACCAAAAAAAGATTTCTTCTCCAATGAGTAGTCTCTGCTTTCTCTCGTTCGCCTTGACTATTTTACGAATACTATCGGAAGGAAATAAAATAATAAAAATAAAAATGCTTATGTCTATCTATAGTCAGTTGGTTTCTTCCGACTAACATATTATTCTATATCTCATACTTCTATGCTACAAAAGAAATTTCTGATTGGACAGAGTATCAAGAATGAATGGGAAAATATACAGTTTCCAATTTCAAATGAGTTCCACTGTGTATGAACCAGTTTTAATCGTTATTAAAAATGGGCAAAAATGTAACAACTCACAATATTTTTTCCACTTTGTGTGTAACAATTATTGAGTCATGTAAAATAAGTTTAAGTGAACGATACTCAAAACTGAATCCATGAGTCTACATTATATCAACATGACTAATGGAGAAAAAAAGACACCAGTAGTTGTCGTTGGTTATCGTTAAGCCATCGTTAGAAAAGAAACGTACAAATTTTCAAAAGTATCATATTATAATAATGGTATTGCACTTATATATAACTAGAATTAACAATCAGTATTTAGCTTTCTATATTCACATGTCAAATTCTTTAAAAAAAAGTATTTAAATGTTTTTTTTTTCAGTTTCTACTCAAATTCTCCAAAGATTTCATTCAGAAAATCATGGAATTGCAATATTAAAAAAGTACATCCAAATCAAATGAACAGTTCTATTAGCACTTTGAATTGCTTCACAGTGTATACATTCCACAGAAATGAATACATGTATTGCGAATTTTGTAATTAAACATTGCAGTTATTGATTAGTGCTATTCTGCTGAAGAAATCATTCTATTATGAAAATCATTTTTCAGAAATGATTTCTTTTTTTTTTTTATAACAATGAACATTCATTTTAAGCTTAAATGTGACAAAACAATATTTTCAGTTTTATAATTGTCGAACACAAAATTATCTTGTTCGTTTTGTTCCAGTAATGTGACTCCATGATTAATCGATGTCTTCAACACCAAATTATTTTGTCACCGTTACTATTATGCCATCAATATGACTTTCTCATAATATGTTGGATTCTGTTTCGAATTATATTAATTATCGTTGGTTGTTTTGTTTTATTCACATTCATCAACCGAAGTATCAATTTCACTCTTTCAAGTAGTTTATGAAAAGCTAGGTTTACTATAAGCAGTGATCTTTTGAAAGAAACAACTTGTTTAAATTAAGTGTTATCCGAGTGAATATACATCCATTCTGTTCCACCATTGAATAAAATACTAAAAAATCTCGTTATCCTTATAAATGCATATTTTCTATTGTTAGAAGTAATAGAACATGCAAATAGCCAAAATAAAATCATTATAAACCGCTTTCAAAATATCTTTACAAAAAGAATAATCAGTTAGATTAAATGTAAATTCTGTTTATTAATCAGTCATTCTTCATCGGACGATGATTTTAATTCTTCTTCCACCTCTTCTCGAAGTTGATTGACTTCAGCAAGTTCTTTCTTCATTGAGACTTTTTCTAGTTCGCTGTATCGGTGAAAAAGCTTACGCGCCCAATTTAGACGATGATAAGCAGCTGAATTATTGGGAGGACTGTCATCTAATAGACGTTTACCTTCTGTAAGAAAATAATCACCAATGTCATGTACCATACGACTTAATAGATCTGCATCGAAATTGAATATGTGGATATAATCACGGTATTCAAACGCCCAATCAATTTGAGATGAAATATTATGACAAAAAACATAAATGTACATGTATGGTTGATCAGTAACTGGATCAGTAAATGTTTCTCTAAATCTTTCAATAATAATCGGTACAGCATCTTTTCCCAATGATCCTGATGTAATAAAAAAAATTCGTTTATCTTGGTTTTGTTCGAAACAATTGATGCAGCTTTCAATATCTGTGAATGCTGCCAATAAAAACCAGACACCTTCAAAGTTTACTGGCAAAGGACCTTCTACCCTAAGTAACTCTGTAACGTCTTTATCAAATAGTTTCACTGGTGTTTCATTTTTGGGATCAGCGCTAGTTGAAAATACTTTTTTTAAGTGTTGATATCTGTCAGGTTGCCCAATATGCTCATCTAGCCAAATAATCATATGATTTGGATTATCTTCATATGCTACAGTAGTATTATGAAGCATTTTTATCTAGAATATTTGACGATTAGAATTCGTAATAGGAGAAATAAAGAATATGTGTAGTGTAGAATGGTGAAAAATACAAAATAAATAAATGAGGAAGCTTACTGTTTGGTCGCTAACTTCTATATAGTAGCTGACTCAGAGATAGACTCGAGTTTGTTGATAAATTCAGGGCAAGTTTTAACAAAATTTTTACGATCTTGATCGAAATTCTCGAGTATAGATTTACTTCTCAGTTACAAATACGATCTGTGTTTATATAATTATTTTGAAATCAATAAGAGTTGATGTTTACATTACTACAAATTTTTTCTCACCAAGAATATCAGAAATAGACTCTGAATTCGCGGCATCAGTTATCTGTAATACATTGTGACTAAATTTCATTAATGATGGCGAGTGAGTTTTTCTTTTTATAGCATCGCTCACTTTGAATACTGCCGAAGTAAATGAGCACTTACAAATACTGCGTATGTGAAGGAAAAGGATCTAATTTGAACCACACAGTAAAAGAAATTATTATAACTAAATTTATAAATATTGACGAATGCTTCATTCAAATATATCACTGGAATGGATGATTTGTTGAGAACACATAAATAGAAAGAAAATTTTCATATGTTGGTAAAAACGTCACATTCATGAAAAAACCAAGCGTTGTTGGAAACTTCCAACCATCGCACCTGAGTGACGGGAAGTAAAACACAGAACACGTTCTTTTTCGTATAAATAAGACACATACATCATTGTATGTAAAGGTTGACAAGAATTACACACACTTGTATTTGTATGGTACATTTTCTTCGTGAGAGTCATTTTTGAGAAATAAGAAGAAAAAACAAACCCAAGGTATCATGCTGACCAAGTGAATAAAAGAATATCACGATTCAAATTTCATTACTATAATAAATCTCAGAATAAAATTTCAGTGTTTTTCAAATGACAAACAAAAGAATTTTATTTAACAACAATAGTATTCACACAATCACATTCAACCATAAGACAAATATCATTCAACCTATATTCTAATTACAGTTTTTCAAGTATTGGTAAATAGATGCACGAGCAAGATATTTCATTCATCGAAGATTCAATCCGTGTTCAGTAGACAATGTCTTTTAGAATGAATTCATTGTGAAATCTGATACAGTTAGAATAATATTCACCTGTAAAAAATGTCTAGAGGAATAAAAACGATATGTGATGAATATAGACAGGATCGATAATTTCAAATGAATAATACAAACTTGAAATATCGTAATAAAACAAAACATATTGTCTATTTGTTTGAACTGTAATAATTTTAAATTTTCTTTAAAATTTCAATTTACTCTTTATAATTCATTGAGATAAAAAATCATTTAGAAAGCTGAATTATCACAGCTTCATCCAACTGTTTACCTACTCGAAATACTGTGGATTTGATGTTCAAGTCAGACGATATTTGTAACAAAGTACAATTTCTTATTCATCAATTCGAAATGCTTAATAAATGATTGAAAAGTTCTTTATTCATCGATTATGGATACTACAACCATTTAGATCTATTGTGTAGAAATAAAATAAAATTTGATTACATAAGTCTTTATATTCAAATATATATTTAATACACGAAGAAAATAATTCCAATAGAATTTTTAATTTTTAATTGTTGATGTTAAATTTCTATTATCAGGTTTTTCAAATTTGACTAGAGTTATTTTGCTATCGTGAATATCGATGAGTAGTTTCAATATATACCAGGAAAACAAAAGTGTTTTACATTGATTTTAGATATTTATCATAGATTGACAATTATTGATATCAATTTCGTTTATCGAAAAATAATTTTTAAAATTATCGCAAATCTAGATAAAAACAGAACGAACCATAGTTATCGATACTTTTAGGAGTGGAAATGGCTAACAATTCGGCAGAAAGTCCAAAAATTATCGGAGACAATGCATTGATGCTCGGAGTGATAGAAGTGTTGACTGAAGAACAGAGAAAACAACGAAATTCGCCATGACTTCATCTGAGCTGTCTCACAACAGACGATCTGTCAGCAGTCTATTCTTCTCTTTGAACCTGTCCCAACCTTACTCACGTCGCAAAGACATCGTGTACACGATAGATTTAAACCACTAAATTAAAGAGAATATCCATTCACAAGACTACCAAAATGAAAAGAATTACTATGACTATCCATCACTCTTGTAAGACAATTATACTTTGCTACTCATCGGTGCTGATACAAACATCGACGCATGACAAGTACAATAGGACTGTCACCCATTTCAACACTCCTATGAGAAAATCGTGTATTTTGTTCTAAGAAAACAGTCACTTAAGATGATTTTATCGCTAGGACAATCACATTCAAGACTATAACTCACATTCTATGATAGATTCTCAATGTATATATAGGCTTTATTACTAATAAGAACACCGTGACAATATTATTATCGACAGTAAGAGATACTGTTTTATTTAATTGTACTTACTGAACTTGCCACCGAAGGTTCACCTGACTAACCACAGCTTGTTTTACAATAATTTTGATAAGAAGCAATGGTTGTAATTTGATGACTATTAAGATACTATGCTGTTATGAGATATATATTATTAATTACAGTCATTATTTAAAATTATATAAATATTATATTCAATAGAAGATTTTTATAAATGCTACGAATAATAATTTATTTGAAGAATCTTATTATTCAATGTCTGTCCCTCAAAATAGTTTTCATTTAATCTTCGTATTGAGTCTTCGCACATTCTTCATGAAGATTTCTTTGAAAAAATAGCTAGCCAGAAAAATGTCTCATGAAAACAGTAATCAACTGTCACCATAGAAAGGGGGGCGGGGCCCCTAAGAACAGGAATCGGTCCATGAACAGATTTTCATAAAAAGTAGATTTTCCAAAGAATTTCATACGTTAAGACCCATGTCTATTCTACCGTATTTTACTCAGTTCAGGACGGTTATGTTTGTCAAAATATAACCTCATCTAGCTTCAAATAGGCATTTAAAAGAGCGAGAATATTGCACAAAACCATATATGAACCAACTAAAAATCATAAACATGAGTGAAAATTACAAACAACATGTAATGTTTTTATCAACATTTTTGGTATGTCATGGGTCTTCATGTTGTCCAATCACTTAAAAATTGGTCCTACGATAAGATACAATCTACACGATCCGATGTAGTTATCCACAGGCTGCACGTTGGCATGATTTTTTTCTCGAAATTTTATTGGCCAAAAATTTTCACGAAGTGAATACTTCGTAAAATCGAGATTATTTCAACTTCATGGTGTCTTTTCCCTTCCAAAGCGCTTAAGAAATAGCTTTATGATGGACTTTCATCTTCAGGGCCAGATGCAGTTTTTCACGGGCTACAAGCTGGTATAGTTTTTCGCTCAATATTACATCAGGCGAAGTCTTCCGAATGAAATAGTGCGTGAAATATCGTTCTTCGAAGATGCAAGTTCGTTAAGCAGCTTCAAAGCACTTCGGAAATCGCTTCGATGAACTTTGCGCGGAAGGTGTCAATACAGTTCATGATGCTTCATGTTCACGGCAAGGTCTTGCCTACGATCTTTTACCCTTACCAACAACGCTTTTTCTATATTGATTGCATAGCGCTTAAAACTCAGTGTTGGATAAGATGGCATATACAATTTGCGGTTTATGATGGTAGCGGATTGAGTTTGGTTGTGCCAGTTTCATCTGAAGAAAATGTCCAGATTGGAACAATATTTCTGTGGAAAGACTGGGTTTGTTTAGTAATCTGATTACCCTTTCATTACATGGTAGTTGAATTATTTTACATCTGATAACTATATCGGTTTACTACAGATCTTAAATCAGGAGTGATCTGGGACAATAGCCCAGTTCATCTGATAGCGTCGTATCCTTCAGCGAGTTCTTAGGAAAATCTGATGCTTTAGCTATTTTTCATACTTCAGCAAACTAAATCATGGTCATCAATAAATTGAATAGATGATGTGTATCATTTTTTTCATTTCAATCTAGACAGCTTGGTGTACTCTATAAGTGCCAGAGAAGTGAAATTAGTCATTTGTTAAGTTAGATTTTAATTCGAATGAATAGTTGTTTCTAATGAGTGGCGTTAAGGTAACCTTTTGACTTTCTCATACAGAAGCGAATGCGACCTCTTGACATCCAGCTAATGGTAANGCTCGGTCGGGCTCGGTTTGTAAAATTCCAATAAAAAACGAAGGCATTATTGCACAGAGCTTAGATATGTCTCATTTTGTAGAACGATGTTTGGTCTATCTTTTGATAGGTTAGACCTCATGATTCAGTCTTTCGTTTCAGAGCTCAAGATGTTAATATAAAAGTGTTCGAAAGTAATGAAAAAAAGCTCGGTACATGCCTAGCCATGGGTGTAGTATAGTTTTATTATAGTACATATTCTTTTTAGCTTTTCATTGTAATATTATCTAGTCATAACTAAAGCATCATCGTATGTAATGTTTGAACAGCGTAAGACTGGTGGTATGAGAATCCAATTCATTGAGAATAAGATGGTATTGCAAATCTGTTAACTTTTATATAATTACGTATTTTATAACGCGATAAAGGATTACACAGGTAGCTAATACATAATTGAAAGATTAGATAAGCGAAATAATAAGAAATATTTTATGTCTACAATATTTGAACCTGAAATTCTGCACGCACCTTCAACGAATTGTATATTCATAAAAAATAAATCAGATTTATTTTTTTTGAAAAGAAGCGCAAGAAATTTGTGAAAGATAAATATTTTTTTTAATTTGTAGCTTTTGTCATACATGCTTCAATCATAATTGTGTAAATCGAAAAATGATTTTTTACCTCGATGCAACATAACTATGTACCGTATAAAGACAACATCGGTACTTATAAATGATGATAGTACTATTACTACTAGTGCTCTTTCTTTATCTCCAACAACGAAACAACATACAAATATGTCATTGATGGTAGACTCTTTTATTCAATGTTTTGATCAAAATGAAAAAACTAAATTGTTAACAAATCAATCTGAACATTCCATTAAAAACTATGAATATAGAAATATGCTATTATCAATTTGTAACAATCAAAGTAATAATAGTTCCCGTCGACTGAAACCGAGCATCCAAATAAAACAAAAAAAAGCAACATATAAAAACAACTCTAAAAAACCTTCCATTAAAAAAAGTAAGAAAGAAGCATTAAAAATAAAAGTAAGACAACAGACAATAAAGAATACAAAGTATTTGAGTCGATCAAATACAAATAAACAACCAAATAATCAACGAAAACGAACACAACCATTCACAATAAAAAAAAAGTCACATAGCTCTATAGCTAAACAAAAGCGAAACAATATTTCCAATCACTCTTCTCGGAAACAACATAAATTGAAAGCTACAAAAATGGACAAAAAGAAATTAACTCAAAGCCGAAAGAAAAGTATCATGACATCACATCAGAAATGTAATAAAATTAAAAAATGTAAGACAACTATGTCAAAGAACGACTTATTGAAGCATTTTCATCTCGTTCAGAAAAATTATTAACGCAATCTCTTCTAGATAAAATTATGAAACACGATGTAGCTGTCGTTACTAACTACAGTACGATTGTTTTTTGTTTCAATCCATGTTGAGACATATCTCGTCAGCATTCTTTTACTTAATTCTCTAGATATTGCCGAAAGAATGTGATATTGATATACGATCAGTGATCATATATCAACAACGTCAGTCACAATCTTTGAGAGAAGGATTTCAAGTTTTTAATATCGATCGATATTTATATTAAATTCATGAATTTAGAAACGCTAGAGTTTCTGTTTTTTTCATTCTCAACTATTACAATGACAGAATATTATGGATAGACTTTAATTCATTAGTTATCTGTCATGTATTAGTTAATTGAATATCTTTTCTTGATAAATATAAATAAAAAATATTGAATTTTAAAAGGACACTATTATATATGTCTATACATACCCCTAAGGAGGGAATGTACTAAATCTAAGATATTCATGTACTGAGTCAGTGGTCAGCAGGATACTTTTTCGGGTATCCTGTAACCAGCATGTTACAAGATCTGTGTTGGGTGCTCTATTGAGACTTGTCTTCGTCCAGGTACCTGTCGAATCTCCATGACATTCTATGAAAAATGTAGAAGATTTTTGTAGTTAAGTGTTAAAATCCCCATAAAGTACCAAAATATTCCTGTTTTATACTGGTGGTGGGCAAAGAACCTTGAACTCCATATATTCACCAGTATACAAACTCTAAGATGTAATTCAGCGAGAACAAATTCACCAATGCAAACCACCATCAAACAACAACGTTCAAGTTCACCGTCTAAATCATCGGCTACAATTCCATCTCAACTACAATCAAAACAAGAATCAAAAGAAAAACAGCACGTTTTCAAAAAACGAGATAGAACAACATCGCTAATGGCATTACAAACACTAGCTAAAAAAATAGCTATCTGTATGTAAACATTTTCAAAACTAATCTTTAGTTAAAAATCAAACTGAAGACTTATAAAGAAATAAGAATCCCATAGAAAACACATTTTATTTAAAATTTAATTAATTCTATTATTTCAAAATTTAAAATAATATTTTATGAAACCACAAAAATTTCACTGAGATGTATTTATAAACTTGAAAAATATATCTATTTTACACGATACAAATATAATATATAAGGTTAAAATATCAGTCCTTTATTTATTTTTAGATAAACAAAAATATGGTGATATCGAAATACGGCATTCATCAATATTAACACCAGCTGAATCACACAAAGTACAAACGCAACGTAAAAAATAAATTCTAACGAGTCAACGAAACCATATATATAAACACAGACGCATTCTATACATATTCGTATCTTATTCTTAATCATTACATTACATGATTGTGGGCATACATAATAAATAATAAATGATATTATTATTTGGAATTAGAACAAAATGAGAATTAGAGAAAGTAGATATTCATGTTGAACAATTAAAATGTATAACAAAAATACTAATTCAATAATGAATAGTTAAAAGTATTTTATTCTTTAACTTATAGAAAAATAAACGTTTATTCATTGAAAAAATCATCTATTATTTCATAAAATTAAATTATAAAAAGAAAAAACTGGTGTTCATAAAAAAATGGTTTCTCTTATAAATAAATGAAAATAATTTACTTGTGTTCTGTGCAAATTAAAAAAAAATATAAACTACAAAAATATATATTTTAAATATCATTTTGTGACGAATGTTATCATTCTTTTTTTTTTATTCATCTAAACAAGTGGAGTTTTGCCTCGTAATGTTGCTGATGTTGGATTTGTATTATTATCTGTACAAATACTTATACATGTCGCTACACGATAACCACGACGAGATGGACGATCATTTACATTCGCTGTTGCAGGTGTTGGATTTCTTGAAAGTGGACGTATTTTTGCTGTAGTCAATCGATCTTTATAGAAAGAAAAATAATTTATTCAAACAATAGCAAAAAAATATATATGAAATTTTTTGTTTTTCAATAAACCTGTCATTTGACTTTGATTTTCTCGAACAGGTATTGCTGTTGTTACTCGTTCATTTATATTTCTTGTTGGTAATCGTTCAATAATCATCGTTTCAACAGGAGTACAATTATTGTTATTTGTTGGTGTTGTTGTTGTTGCTGTTGATAAACGTTTAGCTGGTGTAACTATTCGAAGTGGTGATGTAGCTCGTTCACATGTTTCATTATTATCAACAGTTAATGATGGTAATGATGAACATGAACTTAATTTAGATTGTTTTAAAAATTGTTGTATTTGTTGTTGTTGACGATCTTTTTCTTGTCGTTGCCAAACTTTATATGGCCAATAGACACTAAACGAAAACAAAAACGAACTATTGACAGTGAATTAAAATTTAAAAAAAAACTAAATACTTATTAAAATTTGCTGCTGTTGAAGATTGATCAGAAGTTGAAAGATCTGATATAGTATCATTGTCTTGATTTTGCATATCTTGCATTGTTCGACTAATTAATTCTCTAGCTAAACGTTTTTCTATAGAAATAAAAAGATAAAACATATGTATGTATTTCAATAATTAAATCAAACCGGTTGGATTTGCATTAATAAGCCACTCCTGTGCTTCAGCTACATTGTCCATTTGTAAAATATAACAAAGAATTGGAATTAACTTTAAAAGAAAACTTTTTTTTAAACTAGTTTTATTTTTAAACACTAAATTACCCAAATTCCAGAATCTTGATTTTCATCATTACCTGGTTGTTCTTGTTCAGTTTTTTCATTAAGTTTAGATTTAGTTATTCTTGGAGATTGATAACGTGGACTTGCATTTCGATTTAATAATCGTTTCGAAATATTTTGTTCATCATTCTCTTCAACATTACAATTTGATGCTGTAGTACAACTTCGTTTATGACGATGTTTACTTAAACGAGCTGATCGAGATGAACGAATACATTGTTCTTGTTCATCAGCTGGTGTAAGAGAAGTTTTTACTTGTTGTGCTAATTCCATCAATTGTTGACGCCACGAATCAGCTACGTTGTCTATAAAAAATAGAAACCTTATATTTCATCGATGAAATTGATTTTTTTCTTAAAAGTTAAACTAATATGATATTGAAATGCAGATGCAAGAATAATATAAATACAACACATTCACACATCAATGGATAACAAACTAATGAAAAGAAAATACCTTTTTTGTAATACTAATATTGTCATTATATTGTTAGAGAAATTGTATTTTTAAAATGTTATGTTTTATCATTCAGAAATGAATCTAAATTTAATCTTACACGCTTCATTTGTGGCTATGAAAACATATTTTTACATAGCACCAAAATACTTTTCTCGAATTCCAAAATAAAAATTAAAAACTTACAAAAACCGAAACCATTGGCGTTATTCATATCATTATCATTTCTTTGGTTTAATACATATCTATATGATGATTGATTTATATTATTGGAATCTTCAACATATGGAATATATCCAGTTGCAATATCTATGATAATTAAAAATAGAACAAGAAAATAAGAAAGTTTCGATAATACCATGAATATATTTTAAACGTCTTGGACAAGCAATATGACGAGCAGGACGTACAAAGAACATATTAGCACTTAAATTACCAAATCGTTGTCGCGCACTTAATAATGCTTCATAATGTGTCTCATTGGGAGATGAAGGACCATAAACTATATTTAAATTTATTAAGAACAACATTTCTTTTGTTTTTCATTATACTTACAAGCCATTTTCTAACTATATGTATATATATATATATATATATATATATGAAATGAATACAACGTTTGGTATGTTTCTTTGTTTAACAACAAAAGAAAAAAAAAAGAATTGATGGTGACACAGCAGCAACTCAAATATTGTAATAATGCATAAATCTGTTCACATTCTTTTTTGTTCGATGGAATTTCTTTTCTTTTGTATAATGAAAAGAAAATAATTGATTTCTTCTTTTCTTGCCAACCAATCACCAATAACAATAACACTCACCACCACCAGCAATAATAAGAGAAATAAAGGCATTCAATTGAAAAATTGACGGCAAATATAATTTTGTTTTTGAGTTTCAGCTAGTTGGCAATCATATTTTTCTCCTGACACTTTCAAATTTTATTTTTTACATTGACCGTCAATGCTCTATGTGTTTTTTTTTTCTTGCCACTTCAATACATCTTGAGATTTTTCAATAATAGCAAATGTCGATCAGAAACCAATCTGAGTATTTATTCAATGTTATAATGAAAAATGATGAACAAAAAAACATAAGGCTGGTAATTTTCTTTTAACTAAAAAAATAAAGCTTATTATGTTAGGCACTTGTTTTTAAAGTCATATTCGTTGGAGAAGAAAAAAAAAATTCAAGGCACTGATTAGAATTTTAATGGCTTGTGACAGGATCAGGACGAGTTGATGAATAATTATTCGGATAACTCATGTATGAATGAGTTTGTTGATGTAATTGAGGTGTAACATCACATGCATTTGGGGCTGTACTTGATTGTAAATTTGCATAGCCTACTGGACCTGGATCAGTTGCATGATAAATATGTGTTGGTGCTGCATTAGTTCCTGTATATTGACGACTAATATTATCGGTTGTATTAGATGTGTAATGAGCATTTATATCCGTTGGTCGAGTCGATGGAAGATATGATTCACCGAATGAATAAATTGATGAAGATTTTGGAGGAAATATATTACGCACGGCTGTTGTTTCTTGACTATGATTCTATTTAGAGGAATATAATGAAGAACGGTGGTGAAAATTGTTGAGCGATGAATGTGACTCGCTTTCAAAATAAAGTTTATTACTTCCTCAAAAGTCAGTTTGGATATAAGAAATTGATTAACCTTCGAATTAGACCAGTTAGACTTCACTCTGGTTGCGTGCAGCTTACTCAAAACTTGTTGTCGCTACCTATTCGTTATGGGCTCACACTACGCAATGTTTCTATGAAATGTTTTTCTCTCGTCTTCAACTCTTTTAATTTCATTTGTACAATAAATCAGAGCTCTTTGTTTATTCTATCGAATGACACGTAGGGGGTATAACAACACACGGTTCTTTTCCTTATTCTTTTACGTGACACTGTTCGCTTGTATGTACTATATGACGGTAGTTATGACAAAATTTCCTTACTATTATACTTTTAAAGAAATAATCCATCTGAAATTATATATAATTCGATAGGCGTTTCAAATTTCTACAAAAAATGATACTATTGCGTTGGCTTAATTTGTGAGCAAGACATTTTATCCAAACACAGTGTTCATTACTGGCAATAATTGCATCCTCTTTGACTAATATTTGATAGATTTTAGTCAGAATAAAAATCCGAGTCGATCTATATGTGCCACAAAATTCTCTGACAATTTTTATTTTAGTCCAAATATTCAGTCGTAGTCCCCCTCTTAGTGTGTTATGCTGAAAAATAAAGTCAGTCAAAATGTCGATTGACCGCGAAAAGTTACTTCTAAATTTTTGAAAATCTCAAGGAAAATCTTAAATAAGAAATGAATAAACAATAAAAACGATGTTTCGATTGATTTTATTTTCCGACGTTATCTTGAGGAAGACATGGGCTAGATATTTGGACTAAAATAAAAGTTGTCAGAGAGTTTTGTGATATATATAGATTGACTCAGTGTTTCTATCCTGACTCCAAATATACTTTCGATTTTGATAAACAGCTTGATTACTCTGACGAAAAGCTGCCAAATATAAGTCAATAAGCGGTAACTATTGGCAGTCATGAACATTGTGCGCTTGACTAAAGTGTATTACTCACAAATTAAACTCAATGCAATAGCATTATTTGTTTTAGAAATTTGAAACACCTATCGAATGATATATAATTCAAAGGAGATTACTGCTTTAAAAGAATAAAAATGAGGAAATATCATCATGACTACCCTCATAGAGTACATACAAGCAAACGATTTCATGCAAAAAGGAAAAGAACAATATTTAGTTATACTTCCTATATTCCATTCAATAAAATAAACAAAGATCATTCATCTATAAAGGATAGGTACCATCGAGTTTTGAGTAAGTCACATGCAGTCAAAATGAAGTCTAATGGCTTAATTCACACGGAAATTCACTCCTGGCAGCTGAATTGATTATTGGGAAATTAATGAACTCAATTATAAAAGGAGGGCGATTGAGTCGTCTTCCGGCGGTCTATCCAAACAGGAAAATATGTTTCCGTTTCTTTTTTACTTACAGGTAAATGAGCTACTTGAGCAGCTACAGGTCCGTAAAAATGTGGATTTAATGGTGGAGCACGAACAACAGATGAACCAAGTGCACCATAGCCTATATGTCCTCCTGCAGCTACTCGAATTCCTTCTCGTGCAATAACCTAGTTTAAACAAGAAAAAGAACATATAATATATTGCTTTAATTCTATTTACCGTTTCCAAAATAGCACCTGAAAAATAAAGTGAAACAAGGAAATGTGATTTTTTTTGCTCTTTTAACTAAAAAAAAAGTAAACAAACCTGCTTTTAATTTATCTTCATAAAATGGAAAAACACTCAATATGTAGTCAGTTCCTTCTTGTGTATATGCATCATTAAGAGCTCTTTTAACATAAATAAATAGCAGTACTGTTCGAAAAGAGAACTATGAGTATACAAACCTTTTTACATATTGAAGAGCTTCAAGGCGATCATTATGTACGGTAATAGAAGCAAGAATATTTCGTGCTTGTTGACATGTCATTGGAATCAAACGCTAGAATTATTTAATAGATAGAAAATTTTTTTTTTTTTTTGTGCCAAATTTTATACCGGTTCCATTATCAAAATGGCTTTCATTCGATCTTTTGGCCGTGTTATTGATGATACAATATGACCAGCTTGTTCACCACTGAAAAATCCTCTTGAATGATAAAGAGTTTCAAGTTTCTTTTCAGGATCAGTTGTTTGCTAAATAAGAAATTTCTTTTTTATTCATATATATCTATTAAATATTAAGCATTACTGAACTATCGACAATATTAAAGAAAACTTATAAAACAAATTTAATTGTCACTGAGATTTGAATTTTTATTACCAGAGCTATCATTTGATATTATTATTCAGGAGAAGGAAATTGTTTGTTTGCACACTTTTCTTACATTTACGCTATAAAAAGTCAAGAAATTTGCTAAACAGAAGTTGATGAAAATTTTCCAGGAGAAAAGCTAAGCGCAAGTAAAAATTTAGGCAGGGGACATTCTACTCTCCTGATCGTATGTCCTGACAAAAACTATATTTATAGTTTGTGTCTTGTTAGCTAGTAATATAATCAATCTTTTTTATACTGATGTTGTATGTATCTATTTTGTTATTTGTCTTGACCAATGTTCTTTTATGTTTTTATTTACTGAATACATTCAGAAACAATAAATTTCATATAATCCTGTTTTCTAATGATTTAATTATTACTATAAAAATGACCAGTAATTCACTATCTGCTGATGAATGATGAATTGAGATGTTCAGAATTAAGGCTTTTTAGTCCCAGAGAAAAGCGACAAGTCGTCGAATGTTTGACAGATGTTTAGTTCTTTTTTACTTATAACAAACTTTAATTTATACACAAATGAATCCATCACATCCAGCACAGCTTGAAGATGTATCCTATGGAATGAATAAGTAGATGATCTCATCGGTAAATGGTACCTGAATGACAACATTAACCTTGTGAATTTATGGAAATCTTATAAGAAAATGAAAACTATATTCATTGTACGAATTATTCCCGTATAATGCTTCATACATAACTAGGCAAGTTTACTGAAGATTCGTACTTCTATTCATATCTTATATTTCTTGTCTTTGAATAGATTGTGAGTTATTCTCTGAACCTCTCTGAGTTACTTCTCTATAATACTAATAAAAACTTGTTTGATTATTTTATTTTTTTTAGTGTTGTAGTCAATTGTCGTAGACTCTGGTCCTAGTAATTTCTTTTCCATTGGTCTAAATGATTCAAATTTTTGAAGCCTGATCTTAGTCTTACTCTCAGTCTAAAGCGAATATATGTCGACATTTATATGCTTTTATACATATGATCAAATCAATAAAATAATTGACTCAAAACAACAGAAAACTTGAACTGTAATCTTTGGTTACATGCATCTCTGCTGCCTATCACATATCCTGACGGATACTTCTATCTATCTCGTATTTCACATTGCTATTTCATAGAAGTTTAGTCTATAGCTTATTCTTTCAATAAATACAAATATTTCGTTAGCAATTATATTCAAACATGTTTTTTTGATTTTCACATGGCAAATAGTAAACTCTTAAAAGAAATAGAAAATTTGATCGATATAATAATGGAAAGAAGATTGATGTCAAGGTTATTTTGTTGAAAACATAAAACTTACATGAACAATTTTTCGAAGTAAAATTTCAAACACTTGATCACTCATCGGTGTTTGATAACTTCGATTTTGTGATGGAAAAGGATTTTTCGCAATTGGATCAAGAAAATTCATGATTGTTTGAAGTATGAAGGAACTGATTACTAAAATAAAAAACTTTCTTTTTTCTGTTTTAGTTTTCCATAAACATCAGTCATTCTGTATATTGTTACTAAAACATCAACCTCTATTCAATTGAAGTTATTTTAAATTTTTATTTATTTTCCTTTAATTAAATAAATTTGTCGTATTTTAATTAATTTCTTTCAAAAAAAAGTTTTTTTATAAAGTTTTTTAAAGTGACATCTATC